AGAAGAAGAGAGGAAGAGAGGAAAGAGAGGAAGAGAGGAAGAGAGGAAGAGAGGAAGAGAGGAAGAGAGGAAAGAGAGGAAGAGAGGAAGAGAGGAAGAGAGGAAGAGAGGAAGAGAGGAAGAGAGGAAGAGAGGAAGAGAGGAAGAGAGGAAGAGAGGGAAGAGAGGAAAGAGAGGAAAGAGAGGAAAGAGAGGAAGAGAGGAAGAGAGGAAGAGAGGAAGAGAGGAAGAGAGGAAGAGAGGAAGAGAGGAAGAGAGGAAGAGAGGAAGAGAGGAAGAGAGGAAGAGAGGAAGAGAGGAAGAGAGGAAGAGAGGAAGAGAGGAAGAGAGGAGAGAGGAAGAGAGGAAGAGAGGAAGAGAGGAAGAGAGGAAGAGAGGAAGAGAGGAAGAGAGGAAGCGAGGAAGAGAGGAAGAGAGGAAGAGAGGAAGAGAGGAAGAGAGGAAGAGGGGAAGAGAGGAAGAGAGGAAGAGAGGAAGAGAGGAAGAGAGGAAGAGAGGAAGAGAGGAAGAGAGGAAGAGAGGAAGAGAGGAAGAGAGAAAGAGAGGAAGAGAGGAAGAGAGGAAGAGAGGAAGAGAGGAAGAGAGGAAGAGAGGAAGAGAGGAAGAGAGGAAGAGAGGAAGAGAGGAAGAGAGGAAGGTGAACGAAGAAGAGAAAGGTGAACGAAGAAGAGAAAGGTGAACGAGCAAGAGAAAGGTGAACGAGCAAGAGAAAGTGAGAAGATAGAGAGGGGGAGAGATAAAGAACAAAGAAAAGAGTAACAGAGAGAGGCAGAGGAAGACCAACAGCAACAGAAAGAAAAGAACAAAGAGAAAGGTGAAGGAGAAAGAAAAAGGAAAACGGGCAGAGAAAAAGAGAGAGAGAGAGAGGGAAAGGGTAAGGGAGAGAGAGTGAGAGAGAGGAAAAGAAGCAGAGAAAGACCAACAGCAAGAGAAAGAAAAAAGGAATAAGAAAGGTGAGGGAGAAAGAGAAAGGAGCAAAAGAGAAAAGAGACAAGAGAAAAGAGAAAGAGAATAAACAACAAAGAAGAGACATAGAGAGAGAGAGACAGAGGAAGACCAACAGCAACAGAAAGAAATGAAAAAAGAGAAAGGTGACGGAGAAAGAAAAAGGTGAACGGGAAGAGAGAGTGTGAGAGGGAAAGGGCGAGGGAGAGAGAGAGAGAGAGAGGAAAATACACAGAGAAAGACCAACAGCAAGAGAAAGAACAAACGAAAGAAAGGTGAGGGAGAAAGAGAAGAGAAAGATAAAGAGAAAGAGAAAGAGAGAAAATAAAAACAAAAGAAGGAAGCGCAGGAGAAGTAACAGGAAAAATAGAAAGACAGAGCAAAGAAAAACAGTCAAGTAGAGAGAGGAAGAAACAAAGACAGAAAACGACCACGCGAGAGAGCGAGAGAGAAAGAGAGAGAGAGAGAGAGCGAAACAAAAAAAACAGAGACGGAGAGCGAAAGACAAAGGACAAAGAAAAAGGGACAGTGCCAGGTTCGAACTTCCGTATTTTCGGGGCCGGCCCGTGCCGCTAGGCCTGAAATATTTCTGTAGAAAAGCATCAGCCAGCAACTCCAGCATGTTTCCATGCTGGGCGCAAAGCCCCGACACACCTCCAGCGGACACCCTGGTACCTATTTCCTCCCACCCCCCCCCCCCCCCACTCTGCAAACATAGGCGTCGGAAACAGGTGGCAGGCAGACCCTGCCCTGGCCTAACAGCACCTTCTCACCCCGTGCTGGGCAGGCGGCGGCCGAGGTGGGTCGCGTTGCGTTCAAGTTAAAGCCCTCAGCTGCTAAGCAGGCCAACCGCATCAGCCCACCTTCTCAAGGTGGCGCTTCTCATCGTCAGACACCTGCAGGTGCCACGAGATGCCAAGAAGACCCCAAGCAAGAGTAATGTTCCTCTATGTTCCTCTAGTACTCTGCTTGCTGGGCTGAAAGATTTCGTTTTGAAGCGTTCGGTGTTCCTAGATACGAAAGAAGTGTCCGCTTTCACGTAAGTGCCTCAGTTGACAGAGAGAAACGCATCTTACCATCTCAACCGCAGCACGCGTAGTTGCCAACCCAGACAGGCATCTAAAGACAGCCAAATCAAATCAAATCAAGGCCTTGTGGCTTCGGAGCTCCTGCTCGACCTGCTGCGAGCGCAGGCTTGAGTAGAGAATGAAACAGAAAATGTGGACGGAAAACAACCAAGCAGCAAATATTGATTGCTTCGGGTTGACCCGATAGTGGCGGCACTGACTGCCCATGGATAAAAACAAGTTGTGCCCGAGAATTGAGGATTCCGTGGGCTGTTTTTGGTGTTCGGTTGGGCGGGTGCGGAGTGTTGCCCACAAGAAAAAAGCAAGTGCCGAACACTAAGCTCTCTGAAGGCAGGTCACATGACGGCGAGTGCTTCTCCCACAGCCCTGAAAAGAAAATCCTGGAGGGCCTCGGTTTTTTGAGCCGGGTCCGGCAAAAATGCCGGATAGGCGTCGGCAAAATAGACAGCGGATGGCATTTGCGCCATGTTGCCGATTACGTGCATGCAATGGCATGTGACTTGCAGTTGAAGGTTGCGACATGCATCACATGCAGCATGCACCTGAGACTTGTAGAAGCTCTCGGTGCACTTGCTGCCATGTGCCTCGCAAACTCGAGCAGGAACCACTGCTGAAGCCCCATCACTTTTTGTATCTGGGAGTTCAAGTTGAAGACCCTGGTCGAGGTCTGGGTTTTCACCGTAGCGACTGAGCACATGCCGCTGAACTTGTCGCTAGATGTCGGGGCCAATCTCTGCGCGACTGCAAGTTTGGAAGCGACAGAAGCCTCGAACTATTCTAAGACAAATGACGTGAAACAAACGCCAGGCCTGGTAGCAATCGAGGCTGCAGTATGCTGCTTGGCATCGCGGGCATGTGTACCGTGCCTAGATCAGGAATTCGCTGCTTTCAGCTAGCATGTTTGGTCCGTTTGGCTGTGCAGGTAGTGTGTGAGGAGGGGCAGCCGTGCATGTCTTCACGAGCTCGATGAAGCATGCAAATTTGGTACGCTTGATTGGATGCTCAGCGTGGCCTCTGCACGGACGCATACACTGCACACAGGCCGCATTGCCAGCTGGAAAAAACACAGACCTCACAGACCCTAAGCGGGCTCTGAATTCTACAGCCCTTACACAAAAGCACACTTGACTGCGATTAGAAATTCCGCCGTTCAGCAAACAGCAAAAAACAGTTGGTGCAGAGTGTTGTTTAGATAAGTTTGGATAAGGAGTACGGCTTGGCAAAGGACGCATAGTCAGCGCGTGCCCTTGGAGCATGACATGGGGGTCCGCAAAGAAGATAACATGCCCGTGTGCCCATCTCGGTGAAACCTGCGAGCCAAAATGGCATGCCCAAAGAAGTGGGCAGGAACAACTTTCTTGACAGTTCAGCTCTAAAGTCGAAGCAGCTTGTAGAGAAATTGGCTGCCACATGCTACGATGGAACTGCTGGCAAAGTGCGCTTGATTCATCCCAAGTGTTTCAGCTAAACCCTGGTGTCACCTCCGAGTCTGAAACGCAGAACTTGCCGCATAGCTGGTGTCTAGTGGGTTCTTGAGAAATTAAATCGCCGGCAACTGGTCATGAAGGCAATGAAATGTCCGAATCTCAATCACTCGGCTCCATAGAAACTTCGCGACCACACTTTTGCGCTCATCAAGCACGAGTAGGAGTTTTTGAACCACCCACTGGTGTGCTGCTGAGACACTGCGCAGCAATAAGGACATCGCTGACATGGATCACGATCACGGTCTCCATCTGACATGCGGCATTGGACAAGACTGTTTTGGCTGGCATGGGCTTTCCCATGTTGTAGTACTGGTATGTTTTTTTCAAGAAGCTCTTTTTGTTGGTCATTCGCAGGTGACTCAAAAAAATTCTGCATCTCCACAGCACAAACAACGATACACAAAATTGAAACTTGCGGGGAGCTGTTCCAGGCACGATGTGCATTGTAAGACTGTTAAGAAGTTGGTGGCAAACAAATGTTTTGGAGTTTACGAAAATAAGGGACCCCAAATATAGACCCCGCAATAAAAGGATTCCCTTTTAATCAGGACCCCAAGAAGGTACCCCTAATTCGGAAACCCCACCTAGATTTCATAGATTAAGAGCACGCAATGATCACCTGCCTTGTGCATACGCATTGTTCGCCGTTCGAACAGGTGAAGGGCAGGGAAAGGTGCGAAAGCTTAGATTGAAGACTCTAGACTCTAGACTGATGCGGATGTGCCATGATAACCCCCTCAGTTTGTGGGGGAGGGTGGGGGTGGGGGATTGCGTTTTCCCCACGAACTTGCCGCCAAAATGCGAAGCCCATTTCAGATTCCAGAACCCCTCTGTAGATTATGTTGGGAAGGCGCATGGGGTCGAAATTAATGGTCTGCACTTGTGATAAAGCCTAAATCCCAAGCCACACATTTTTGACCTCCAAAACACACTCAATCTTTGGGCTCGCTGTGCTTCGCTAGGTGCGATTCGATCTCCCGAAAGTTACATTATAAAAAAAGGGCGCAATCGAAATTCCGGATATCCCTGTCAGCCCTGGAAGGTGAGGTCTTCTGCCCGGGGCCCACAAAAAGACTCACCCTGGAAGGCCTCTGACCCAAAATTGCTGCACAAACTGCTTGATTGCCCTTCGTTGCTTCATTTTCTAGTACACAGCCACCCTTGTTGGGTGTGTTTGCATGTTGGCCCATGTCCAGAGGAGACATATGACGGCGCCTAAATCTGTTACTGGGACCGGTCAAGAACAGGTAGGATCTATATCTATATGGATATACATATATAAATATATAGATTTGTATATAATGCAATGTAATCCTTGAACCGCTGATGTCGATAGTGTGGACAGTACCACCCTGACCAGATACGATCAGTCCTGGATTGCCCAACTCCGCTTCGGGAATTGGTAGCCCGGCTGGAGCCCTTGAAAGTGCAGAAAAACTCAGACAGGCCAGGTCACAAGCTGCCCACCAGCATTCGCAATCTATGTGCACAAGAACGGCGTGTGCTCGCTGTATCTGTCTGCCCAGTCGACTAAGGCAGGAATCGGAACATCATCTAACAGCTCTACTACTACCAAGAAGGCATGAAAGCTGGGCAGCAAGCGCTTGCCCTTGAACTTGGAGCCGACCGTACCCTCTTGGAGATCGGCACCCTGGCAAAACGAGGCACCACTGTGTAAGGAACGCGGTATGAAATGGCGAAACGAACGAAGTGCTGACATGCCACGATTGACTCAGCGTGCTCACCTCCCCAACATCGGGGCTCAAAGGCCAAGGGTATGCTGGTGTTCGAACGGTTCGGGGTTTGGCAGTTTGGTCATGCCCTGCGCAACGAGACGAGAACATCTTTAACTTCCGACCTCTGTAGTTTGAAGAAAGGAACGTGCACGAAGACCCCGAGCTTGAAAATGTGGAGCCCTTAACGCAACTTGAATCTGCAGAGCGGCATGTTACGCACGCACGAGACACGAGCAAAGAGGAGATACACCCCATTTTGGGAACCTTCCTGCCATCTTTCACCAAAACTATTCGACCTCACCCTTCCAGTTCTGCGAGGGCCTCTGTGCAGCTGCGACTTTGGCAGCATCAGCCTCTTTGGCTTGAACCTCAAGGAGAAACAGTCGCCAACAGTCGCCTGTCAGTTCAACTAATTCCGGCAAGACCTCGCAAGATTTCGCCAACAGCGAGTGCATTCTTCACGGTCTCCGAGTTCCATGAATTAAGTTTCGAGCCCGAGCGTTGACTCGTACCTGGCAGCCATCAGAGCGCAACCTACACCTATTGAATGCCTCTGATAGAAGGACTCTTGGCAAGCCGGCAAACTGCTGCAACTGGCAGTCTGGCTAATTTTCACAATCCAATTCCACCACCACCCACTACGTTACTTCTCCGGCCTTGTCGGCGTGCTCGTTCGCCGCCCTGAACGGCCTGTTTCACCCGGCATGTGACATGTGGGGAGCCTGGGAAGCCAAGCTAAGCTGCGACACCACAAAGGTGGCCCTGTGAGGCCACGGCATCCCCATGACATCGGGCTCTGGGAGCTTGCCGTGCACGTACCCGGTATAACCAGGCCTTGTTCGACACGTCCACGAACTACCAGAAACAGTATCTGAACAAATTTTACAATATTTTACAGTGTCTTGTGCGTCATGTGGCCTAGTGCTGCATTGTACCTGCTACTACCTGCTCAAGCCAGGGGCCTGAGGTGGCGTGAGATCCATTGCCACGTTGCCTACAACGGCCTACGTCCAGGCATCTACAGAATCTGCAGTCTACAAGGTACGTGAAACCCTCTGAGGTCCTGGCACGGCCTTCCCTGCCGCAGCCCCTGCGCCGTCGCGGCTTGCCACGACCTGGGTGTGTGAGCGGACGTCAGCATTTTCCTCCAAGGACAAATATATGGAGTACCGGTGGCAGATGTGCCAGGAACGTGCAGTCCCAAGTGCAAGCGACGCACGTGGCTTTCCTGTGGCTGAGGGCCACCACGATACTGCAGCGAACATGGATATGAATTCGCGGGGGCACATTCAGAACAGCTTCTGCAACAATGTTCGCAGCATGCAGCACTGTTTCTCCTGGCGCAGGACTGCCAGCGGCACAATGCCTCTGTATTCTATATCTTCTACCGCAGGCACTTGCGGACCTTTTCGGTGAAAAGGTTCGTTGTGGAACGTTGTGGGCGGTCTTTGAACGTGTGTGGCCGCCTCCGGCCATATGTGACGCATCCCACTCCGTGACTTCCTAGTGCGTGTCACATCGCTGCTGCAGGGGAGGGCCGGCTGCCCAGTAGGCCCTTGCCTGCACAACGGATTCACAACGGAGGCCCGGCACAAGTAGGAAGTGCGCAGAACAAACATCTGCTTAGTTTTCAACGAATGCTCAATATACGGTTGCTGAAGTTGTCATGCGCAAACTCAGCCGGTATCACTATGTCAGGAATCAATTCTCCGTTCGTGTCATCTCGTGCTGTGCCTGGGAAGCGTGCTGCCTGTGGATGAGACGGAGTTCGTCCGCGTGCTGCGCCATCCTGCGCGGATGTGCCATCACCCACAACGAACACTAACACGACAAACAAGCCGCATCGTGCCCCAGTGCTCCTCATCAGTGCAACTGATACGATGCAAGGCCAATTCAGGCCATAGCTATTTAAGTGTAGTGCGTACGGCGCATGATTCCCAAAATCCAAGCCTACAGTTGCAGTACTGTTAGCTGCATTGCAAGAGAAAGCCTGCCAAAACACTTCGTAAACTTGACCTGGCACCTAACTTGCGCGGACACAGCAAAATGCACAAAAAACATACCTACGAATTTGGCCGAGGTTCTGTGAAGCAGCAAAGCCTGGCTTCAAACCAACGGGCTTGGATAAGCAGGCATCACATGTTCCAGCCTTCTGTTGCGGGATTCGGCTTGGGATGTCCCATGCTTTTTAGAGTGTTTGCATTGGCTTTTTTCCCGAAACAAAGGTAGGTGGCAGACTGCGGAAATCAAGCGCCTCGTGACCTAGTGATTTCAAGTTCGTCTTCATCTCCGAAGTTGGGACTTCCTCTACTGGTCGTTTGACGGTGACGCCAGCTACACAAAAACTGCACTGCAAGAACATCCTTCATTCCGCATCAAGAGCCCCAAGCTCGATCGCTACAGTATCGGGGAACAGCTGCATCATAAGCAAACATACCCGAGAGCTGCTGCGCTACGACATGAAAAGACGCAGCTCAGGACAAAACCTTTAAATTCACGACCGCGCCACCGATGGGATCTCTCTCGGAGTCTCTCGGCATGGGACACTTGGCTGTAACAACCCCATTCTCATGCAACAGCTCGGACAAGGTGGACCGGATCACCAACCGAATGGTTTCACAATATCACTTGCACCCTACTCGTATACTAGAGGAGAAAGCTACTGACCGGCCCCCGACTGTGGACCAGAGCAGGCGAGAAGAGAACACCACCGATCAGGACATCGACTGGGGAAACCAGCTGGGTCAGCAGCAACCAACACACGACCGAGAAACCGACTACCAAGCCAATGGTCGACGCTGAGTGTGTTTCAGGATGTTTCAAGTGTTGGTGGGTGACTCTTGTCAATACATGTCAGTTGCGAAGTCTGAATTGTTGCCATGTGCACCCTTGTTCTTGAACCAAAGCAACCAGAATGCTAAGCTCCGATTGCAACCATGGTGCAGCAGCATATGCAGTCGTCCCATTCGTCATTAGCCTTGGCGTTTTACTTTCGCTCGGCTTTGCTGCGGCATGCTGCCGGAGAGTTTAGCTGCAAACCTGTTTGCTACAATCTTGCTGGCGAAAAAGATGGCCAATCCTCTGCAAACACAATAGGAGCGGGGCGCGATCAAACTCTTCCTGCAGTGAAATTCTCTGTCTGTGCCTACCGTCCTACTACTCGCACGACGATGATGTACGCCCACTCATGGGTCAAAACTGTTCGCTGCTGACATGCGACGCTCCGTCAGATTCACTTCGCTTGCTGAAATCCTATAATTGGGTCGGGCTGAAAGATTACTCACATAAGCGGGGGTTCAGCGGCTCCACTCAATTAAGTTTATGGCGTGGGCCGGTCCTGAATCAACTTGCGGTTGCCAACGATTGCAAAAGGCGTACAGCAAAATGCCTCCACGAGTGGCCGACTTGCTCGTTGGGCTGGCCGAACGCAAGAAGGGGAGATTGAGAGATAAAACTAGAGAAAAAACTCAACTTGGGGTCCCAGTGGTATGACTTCCAAGGTTTGTGGTCGTTTCGTGAGTATTCACTCTTCCTTAGCCGTTAGCAGTTCAGCATCCGAAATGGGTCGAGTATGTTCACATGAAGAATGGGCCATTCATCCCGGCCTCCAGAAACAATCCCAAGTTGGGCGAGTGAAACGGCCTCACACCCGCAAGAGGCCGGCAAAATGTTGCGATGACACGCTGCTGTGGCTGTCGTGGCGTCCGGCGATGAGAATATTGAACTGCGGATCGCTGCAGCTACTCCAGCTCAATTACGAGGGTCAACACGTGCAGTTCACGGCTCAAAAAGGCCCCGGCTCCTCCAGCATGGGGCAAGCGCGCCCACCTCGAGCCAAATACAGATACGCAAACAACAACACGCTTCTTACATGATTGACACAGACTGCAGGCATTCATGACTGTTACAACGATCTGCACGGCCGATGGATGTCATCTCTATACTCGCTGTCCACGACACATCGTCCACAGAGGCAGCAACCCCAGTCCTCGGCCCAGTCGTCGAAAGAAAGAAACACCATGGGTCTTGGGGCGGTGTTTTGCGTTGAGCCCGTGGGCTAGCTTTTGCATGTAGTGTCGGGCGAATCGTGACGCAGTAGGCTTCTTTCGTGAATCCGACAAAAATATCAGGGCCCAGGGCTTCAAGGAAAGTACTCGGGGTAAGCGGCACCAATTTGTTTAGGCCGTCCGGAAGCAGACAAAATTTACGTTTCAGCATGGTTCAGCCCTTTTGTCGAGTAGCCATATTATGAAGTCTTCACCACCCGAGTTGCAAATTGATTGCAAGCCAGAGCCAAGGGAATCTTCGCATCTTTGGTCGTGAATTTCAAGCGTTAAAGGTTGCTGTGAGGCCTGAACAATCTTCGGGATGCCGTGCACATAACGGGCTTTCGGAAAACACCATGGTGGGTAAGGGGTTGTCGACACTTTGTAGCTGTCTTGGTGCAGCCGAGACTCTGCGAACAGCCCGCCGCAGCAGATATAGTCCACGTGCGCCAAACGCATAATTTCCTGAGTACTGTGCACGGCCGGATGAGCATCCTCGTCAGCACAACAATGATCCGTCAATGACTGGACAGAACAACTGGCCAAAAACTGAAATTTCAGCAAGTAACTTGCCGTTGATGACATGCCGTGCAGCATGGGCATAGGCAAGAATAGCCTTTCTTTTCACTGTCAGAAAAACCGCATGTTGGCGCCACTTATGTTGTGCAATGCAATTCTTGTTCTGGACTTGGACCATGTGCACGATGGACATCAGCACTCAGGGTAGGCATTCAGTATGTTATTATGTTCAAAAAGTAAAAAGGTTGAAGTCTTTGCTGCAGCCGCGCCACAGCACATGCCAGGCTCCTTCCGTGGAACTGCTCACAACAATCACCAGGGCTCAGATCTAGGGCATCCGCAATGCGTCTAACTTGTGCTTCCTTTCAGAAAACTGAGCTGGAGCCTGCCTTAGGTTGTTCGCTCACGTTGCATGTGCAGATCCAACCCCTTGCAAGCACCGCTTGAGATGATCCCAGCCTTGCATGGAGCTGTCAGGGGCGTGGTCCTCCATGAGTCTTCTCTAAGGCCTTGGTTGCGCTGAGCAGTGCCTTCATGGTGTGTCAAACCTCCGACTATCACTGCCATTCGTTGGGTGTACCCAGCCCATTCGAACTGCTAAGCGTCCGACTTGCTCCGCTCCTGAACATGCCTGGGTGGGATGCCGAGTGGCTATGGTTGGGCTTAAAAGATGCTCAAAAGACGTATGACACATCTGACCGGACCCAACGTCTCTGAAAAGCGCAACGTGACCCAAAAAACCATTCCTGACGCAGCACTTCTAGCTGTCTGGCTGGCTCGAAAACGAGGATCGAGGAATTGCAACATGTCCCCACACCCCTTATTTTTTTGACTACAAGTGCAAAGCACGGCCCATCCTCCACAGGGGGAAGTAAACAGCAAACACAAGCGAGGCACCGCTGCAACCACGTCAAAAACCTAACGTCTCCAAACTTCTAGCACAACCCAAAGAATCAAAATAGCACGCCTAGTACATCTTCTCAAACACAAGCTCCTGCCCTCAGGAGTTGCAGCTGGCCATGGGAGGGGCCCTGCACAGACATGATCTCCCCCGACGCAGGGGGTGGGTTTGGGCTTGGCAAAAGCAGGCACAGCTGGACTGCTGCTTCCTTGAGCTGCCCCTGCGCAGAAGCAAGAGTTGTCCATCCGCAAACTGCATAACGAGACTTAAGCAAAACAAGCCAAAGATAGCGCTCTCAACCTGCAAAGCTAGCTCCCGGCAATTCAAACAACTCCAAGCGAAAACTAAGGGAGTAGCGATGAGCCCCAAGATCCAATTGAACTTGAATTGCGGGCGGAGTTAGTCTAGCTGCGTCAGCTGAAGCTAAACCGCCACGTACCAGTAGAGGCGGAGCTGGTGGAGCCTCAAAAAGCCGCTGCGCTGGACCACCTTTTCTCGAGGCTCAGAGATGGCATGGCAGCCAAGATCAGCCAAGGCGCACAGCCGCTGCAGAAAGACAGACACGCAATCATGAGCATTGCCCACGTCCTGCGCAATGTCTCTGCAGAAAGCTGCGCCACAAGCATGCAGGTGACGGTAAGGCGCTCTATCACCGGCCGATCTTCATCTCCCGACACGATCGACATGCAATCGAACAGCAACAAACCGACTCACATCACCTTGTACTGATTGCCTCTGTCATTGATTATAGGCCACATTGCTGTGCTTTTCGATCACTTCGTGTGGAACAGTTGTGGAACGAAATCTACAGACTGATGCTTTTTGTGAGCGCTCTTGGGCATGGCATTTGTTTTGTCAGGTCCTTGGCCATTCCTATCGCAAGGGCATCGAGGGCCTCAACAGACAGACTGCAGATATGTGATTTGCTGCACTTTGGTACGTGGCAGGCACGTGGGGCATGCTCTGGTCTTGTAAGAGATACGTGTGTCTCGGGCGCCGGCAAGAAAAGACCTGATGTAGATCGTAGCAGCACGCTTGAGCCAATTGCGGGTGCAACGTGTACAGTGTATACATATATGTACATATATATATATATACACTACAACTTGAACGATCGGTGCAGCCCTGAGCACTGCGGAGACAAGAATCAGCATGACCAGAGTCCGACTTCAGAGTATCTTGGCTTGCGGGTGGCTTCCAGTGCTGTTCGTGGACAACTTCGTAGTCGCTATGCAGCAATGCTTCCCACAACGCTTCTGCTTCTCTGAAAGCTCCGGACTCCAGGGGCTTCAGTGCGCCGCCTTCATGGTTTGCTGACGTCTGCTGATGACTAGACCAAGCTCACATTGCATAGGTCTCGCCATGTCTCGCCCACAACGCACTGCATTTTGCCAAGCTGACAGTGTGTTTGGCCCTTTCAGCATGTGCGAGCTTCACGGCAAACGTTGCCGAGATTGCCGAGGCAGGTGCCATGCGGTGGTGCCGAGCCTGTAGCCCATGCGATGGGAAGGACATTGGATGACATTGGAAGACGAAACAAGTTCGGTCTATTATGCAGTGATGTGCAACTTAGCCGTTGGCTCAGCTGTTGCGGCCATGGCGTTCGCCGCTGCGCATCTGGCACCTGGCGTTGTTGACAGTCTGCCGTGCTGAGACAGGTAAACGTGCTTTTTTGGGGTGTTACGTCTTTGCGGCCGGCAAAGCAGCGCCCTGTCACGCACTTCGTTGCGGCCAAGATTCGTGGAAAAGCCTGTATTTCGTTTGACTTTTGATGATAAAACCTATATTTGTATAGAACCTGTCTATAGATCTTTGTATTTGGACAATCCGCAATCGCCAGATTGTCGTGCTTTGCAGCTAAGACGACATGTCCACAAGTGTGGCGGTTTGATTCAACTGCAAGCTCCTCAATGCTATAGTGCGCAGCCTTTTGAGCCGTTGGTCGGCTCGAAACCTTGCACAATTCGGTGCTGTCAAACTCACAATTCACAGGTTTCAAACGCTATGCATACTGGCAGTTCCAACCGGTCATAGGTTCCGAGCGTTGACAAGTAACGCGTGTCGAAATAGGGCAACTTGAGCAAACGTTGTAAATTAAGCGGCAAATGACTTGGCTGTTCACAGGCTCCAAATGCCACAGTTGCAGCCTGTCGAAAGGGTGGCTTGAACAAGTCATTCAAATTCGCCTCGGCTTCCTGCCGAGAAGCGTCTGGAACAAGCAGACCCGGATCGGCCCTCCTTCCCCCTAACCCAACCCTTCCCCCCCCCCCGCCCTGTGGGATGCCCCCCCAAACGCTTGGAGGAGCTGCAAACCGACGCCGTGGAGGGTCCTGCCTCTGGGTGGCTCCTACAGGGAAATTCCTCAAAAACCCCCCCCCTCCCCCCCCCCCCCCCCCCCCCCCCCCCCCCACCCCCCCCACCCCCCACCCCCCCCCACCCCCCCCCCACCCCACCCCCCCCACCCCCCCCCCCACCCCCCCCCACCCCCCCCCCCCACCCCCCCCCCACCACCCCCCCCCATCTTTCCTCCTTTCCTGTCCTGGGGCCGGCCCGGCTGCCGAGGCGGTGCGCGCAAGCATTTACAATTCCAAGACAACGGTAAAAATCCTGATGATCGTAATAGACATGTCGTTCTTAGTATAATATTTCGGCTAGTAGCCGCAGGAACAAAACAAAATTAGCAGACATAGTAGTCATAGCCATCGAAGTAGTAATACTAGTCAAACTAGCGATGGCAAGCATAGCAGTAGCAGCAGAGGCCGCCGCCGACATCGTCGTCGAAATAAACAGCAATAGGAACAACAACGAAGAATAGTATTCGTAGAAACAATAATTATAGCGCTAAACGACACGCCATAATGGCAGTACTACTAGTATTGGAAGTGTAGGTACTAGTAGTAGGAATAGTGTACTAGCAGTGTAGTAATTTCAATAGTAACAATGGTATTTGTAGTCATAGGAGTATTAGGAAGACCAGTATGAGAAAATGTGGCAGAAATAGTGCGCGTAGCGCTAGATTGGGGAAGGGGGGGCGCGGCCCGAGACAAATATGCCGGTGCATACCAGGAATAATAAAACTTGAATCATAATCGTAGCACTACTGTAGCAGACATACTAGTAATAGTGGTGGTAGTATAGTAGTGGAACAGCAATTGTTGCTGCCGTTCTGTAGTGGTCTCTGAATTTTGCCTGTTTTCTACGGAAGTCCTTGGCTGTTGACAGGAAGCCACTACTTTCAAAGGGGCTCTTTCTTCCGTAATCCTTTATGTGACATTTATGTGACGTGTATCAGAAATCCAGTGTCGTGGGAACGCCCTTCCTTCGCTGGCGCGGGCCTTCTGTTTATTCAAGACACGGCCGGCCGACCAAAGAAAAAACACGGGGCGTGAGGTTTTGTGTTCGGCACGCGCCCGGCGACTCGCCCACTTGCAGGCCGTGCTGAAGAACCCCCCTGTCCAGGCGAGCAAGGCAAAGCACGTGGATGCGCTTCTAGAGCTCGTCGAGTAGAAAGTGGCAGGTTCCGCTGAGGCCATGAGAAGAACATTCAAGTTGCCAATTCTGCGTACCGCTTTGAGAAGAACAAATCAAATTCCCAACTGTGCATACATTCATTGCGCCGCAACTAGAAAAAGAGTCAATGTAAAGCCAACAAGACCAAAAAAAAGTTCGCAACATGCACGTTGACGAGATCGCGGCATAGCGCACAAGGACTGAGTTTAACTCACATCTGTTGGCGTATATTCACATCGCCCAAATGTGGACGCTCCATGACACTGCACTGTAGACACTGTGACATCGGTGCACAAATACACATCAGTGACCTGTCCAAGATTCGATGTGGCTGCTTAAAGTGCGCTTTCCCAACGTGGACGTTCCCTGATGCGCATTCCTACCTGGTCATGCGAGATGATGAAGATACCACGCAGCTTCTTGCTTCATGTCCATTTCGATATTTCGACCCAGCTTCATCCGGCTTCTCAACCCAGGATTTGCTGCGCGTATGCTCTGGGGGTTAACGTGATGGTTGATGTGATCTGTTCTTGAAATCAACCGCTGCTTCAATGCAACACTTTTATCGGCCGCGATTCTCTGTATTGTTCAAGGGCGCAGGGTCGAAGATTCCGACTTGTATGCGAGGCTTGAAAATGATGACTTCAGGACCAAACAGCCCAAGTGGGGCCCTCTCGGGCTTAGAAATCCGAATAACTACGGCCCACCTGGCAGCACGAAAGCCTGCTTGCCGATTCGTCCATCGCCAGGAACGTCGTGTCGCCTTCAAAAGCCTTTTGACTAAGCTTCTCCTTCGCACCACTTGCAAGGACCCGCGCGCTTCTAACTCTAGACACCACAGGTCAGGGATCGAGGCGTGCTGCACCTGATCTGTTTCCGCCGTCCTCCAGCTGTTTACGCCCGATGCTTGGTAAGCACGCTTCACATGTGAGTCTTTATGAGTCTTTCATAGTCTTTCGCAATGTGCTCTCCCAAACCGTTGGCCGAAGATGAAGCCTCCAAGTCAAGCCGGGCTCGCCAACGATGTTCTCGGAAAGCTTGCCTTAGCTGAGGACTAACGGTGACTAACGGGTGCTTGGAGCATTGGTCAGCTGAACCGATGTGCCATTGTGCTGCAGACTCTCCGAGGCAAAGGCCGGGGACATGCCCGGCATAACCCGGAACGGCTGAGGCTGCATGGCCTGGACATGGATAGAACCCAGAGATGCCCAGAGGATGAACGGGGAAGCGCGCAGAAGCGAGGGGCGCTTGCAAGATGCGGGATATTCCGGGCACATCCAGTAGTGGACAAGAAAGTTGGCCGTGTCAATGGGATGAACCCAATACAAGGACCCATTGGAATCTATCGGTCACGGATCTGCCATGTGAAGCCATCGGTATTGCCTTCTGGTACACAGAGTACAGCCCAAAAGCTTTGGCATGTTGGAAAGGGACTCTGAGCGAGTTTGGTACATGATCCTCTCTCTGTTCGAAGGGTGGGGGCATATGTGCACTATCCGGGCTCTGACGGCCGAACCTTTTCATTTGCGAGTAGCTGTTTAGGTTTGGCTCCAGCATTCCACGGGCTTAAGCATGCCATGCTTGTGGTTGCTTACCTCCCAGAAAGTCATGGCTTCCTCTTCATGATACAAGTGGCATCATATACTCTGGAGCAAGAATCCTTATGTCAATAGGTCAGGTCTACAATGTCTACAAGTCAAGCCATCAGCCAGATGAAGAAACAGGGCAGGCCTGTGCCAGGTCGTAAGGTCGCCCGTCCCTCCCACAACAGATTTTGCAAAACAAATTTCGTGTGTGAAAGATGCACACCCGCTTTGCACGACAAGTCTAGCTTCAATCACTCCTTTCTCAAAGATGCCTGACCAAAACGCTGTGCTTGCTGCACCTGCGCTTCGGATGCCAATGGCTGCCTGTCGAGGTTGGCCTCATGAGTGCTCGTTGCTCATGCTTGCTTGATCTTCATGTGGATCTGGATCCGACCCTATCTAGTCAGTGCATGAACTGAGGAGCTCGTGTCTCGGGCACCATGATAGGCAATGCTTACTGTTGGATGCGGCAGCATATCTTCACACCAAACGATGCCGGGCCACCCCTCATGCCCTCGTGACACCGTGCCATCACGCTTTCCGGGATGCACAAGCCAAGAAGATAGCAGCCCCGAACAAACTAAGGCGCACCAGGCCATCGAACAGCAAACAGACTGAAAAAATTGCAATCGCATGAGACTGCCCCCTTTGGCTGACATGCCAGTGCCGGCTTTCTGGAACCTTGACAAGTTCAGAACTGGAGCTGTGAGAGGCGCTTGAACTGACTGACCTTCTTTGCACAAATCACTCCGACGCATGGCTACCTTGATTATACCGCAAGTACACATATACACATCTTTGTGTGTATATATATACACACATCTGTCAGTCTCTCTGTCTCTCCCTCTCAAAAATACATACATGTATGTGTATATATATATATAATGCATATACGCATTCTTATATATATATATATATATAATCTGCCATATACAGACAGACAGACAGACAAACAGACAGGCAGACAGACGCACATGCGTCTGGCATCATCCTTTTATACCTTCAGCTTGAAGGTGCTGGACTGGGATGCCGACCCACTCGCCCGGGCGGACCTCCGCAGATGTATCGGAAAAGACGAAAGACATCGGCACGATAGTTGCCTTGAGAGTTTCCATTGGGTTGTATCCTTGGAACAGACTAGGCCTCGGATCAGGAACTGCAAGCTTACATACACACGTACAGGCCTTCCTGTCCTACAACGTGATGCTCATGTTGCACTACGAGAAAGCTGCGGATGGCAGCCTTGCGATCATTCTACAGCCGCTTTGGGGGGTGTGCAGCACCTTTCGGAGCAAAGGCCAGAAGAGTGCACTTCGAGCACGAAGAATTCTTCAAAGCATTCAATTCCCGCGGCCAGGGCTTACGAAACACTGCTTTGCAATTTTTCCCAGAGGCCGGACTCGTCAACAAAACGATGTTCTGCCCACGCCGCCCGTGCTCTCTACGAAGCAGCGAAGGGACGTGGCGCCTCTGGATGCTGCTAATTGAGCCAAAGTTTCAGCTGGACTGATGATTCCGAGTCCTCAACTTCCCTCATGTCGAGGCCATAGCGCCAGTCGTGAAACCAAGGTGCTTGGCAGGTGACGGCTAGTGCTTGGCTGATTGCCAGGTGCACGTGTGCTTCAGGCTTAACACCACCTCGACCACATCGTGGCTTGTCCAGCTCGTGGCACAGAGTGTGGGCAACAGTGTCAGCCCACTCTTGGTGAGCCAAGTCTTTTGGGGAAAAACAGATCCACCCCCGAACCCCCTGCCACCAGGGATGTTCTTAAGACATTTTCGGGTTCGTCAATTGAAAAAACACACTTGCCGTTTTTGTTGTACACCACTATTGCACAATGGCACCTTGACATCAATAGCTGGGCTGTGTCTCAAGCACTCGTGGCCTACATGGCTTGGCCAACCACATACTCTAGGTTGGGCCAAACTGGTACAGCATGACGGCTTGTACCCTGAGCGGCCTAGCCAGTCACCATACCACAATCAAGACAGAAACGCTGAAACACAACATGTCAGGCCTCCATGCGCGGCGTTGGCATCGGGCTTCCGGAGTGAAGCCGCAAATTGACATTGCGCCATGTCGCACCGCAGCTCTCCTTCATCCCATGCGAGGCGTGCCTTTACATGCCAGCTTGGTGTGAATTCCAGTGAGAAGGCACCCAACCCAGTCAAACAACCCTTTCTCTGAAACCTGTCCAAAAAATGCATGCACTTATCGTCCTCGAGTTTGCCAGGGATGTGACCTTTGCCCCATGTGTTGAGTAGCCGTCTGCATATGTCTGCATCATGTGCCACAAGTAAAAGTCATGTGCAACTGTGCAACCCTTTGATAAGTTACTCGAACGAATGGCAATTGTGACTGCGCTGCGATTCTCAGACTCTGACCGCTGTAACCTGGGATGTTGCCTCGGACGCGGGAACGAGGGCTTCCACGAGGTATCCGCTCATTGGGTACTCCTGGCCTACTCATTGCAGTGCCTGTTTTACAATAGTTAGGCTGTCTATCTTGGGATTCTTGTTGTCCGTGGACATACGAACTCGTCTCTTCCATACCCAGCAGTGCAAGCTCACTCTAGTCAGCCACATGTCTAGACTCATGCTTGTCACTAGTACATGTTGGATAGGTCTTTGCAGAAAACGCAAGAATGAGATTTTGGCAGAGTGTACCAAAAGGCCACCACGACGTACGTGCACGTCTGCTTCCGAGATACCATGGGGATTGCGACACTTTCGCTGATTTGAGGCCTGCAGAATCAAAACGCAGGACTCTTCCGAGATGAGTTTTGCCAACCATGTTGCGGCGTCAACTGCTGGAATGTACTAGAACCTCCCTGGATGCTGTACGCCAGCGGCCCTCTCTTGCATTTCGCTGCCTGCGCTTGCGTCGCTTCGCCTGTCACTTGGGAGCATTCCCTGTTTGCTTTCTGGATTTTGAGATTATAGGACATGGAAGCCAGGAACAATGTTGCAAGAGCCGCACTTACTACTCGAGGCAGCAGCCAGCAACTTCATAAGGCCAGTAGGGTGCACTTGCTGCAGGAAACCATTCTGCTATTCTATCGCTTTGTTGTGCTATGATTCTGGTGGCCAATTATCTTAGTATGTTATGACTCTATTGTCCTATTATCCTATTTGAGTACTCAATTAAGTTGAAGCAAACGGGCGCATGAGGTTCTGGCTGCTGCTTTAAGAAAACCCACCCAACGTATGCAGTTGTGGCGGTTCACGCCCACATCACTATGTTTCTATGAATATGTTTTCAAATTTTCCTGTTCTTCGATTGCTCTGTTATTCGACTATTCGAGTATTCTAAACTCTAAAAAAAGACCGGATTTGGTGTTTCAAGGTTGGCCAAAAGCTGGAGTTTGATCTAATTGACGGTGACGTCAGGGTATTTGTTGGCAGCATTTGCAGGGATAAGTGTTGCGGGTGAAGGTCCTGCACCCGCGAGGCTCAAGGGACTGCCCATGAAGATCTCTCAACCGATCACGCATCATCATCTGATATGTACCAAGCACCCAGGGGCATCTTCAACGAGTCAGGGGTGGTTTGCAGGGCTTTCACTAGGACAGCAACATGGAAAACTCAGCGAGAGTGGAAAGTGACCCGAAGCAGGCTTGGAAATACAGTAATGTCCTGATTTGCCAACAATCTACACCTGCTCCAAGAACCACGGGGACCCTCTGCACTTGCTGCATGCCGTGTTGGTGCCACTCTGGTTGCATGCCTTTGTTTCAGGGTCTCTTTCTCATGTGGGCTGCTCTGAGTTCATGGACCTGGCAAAGTAACACAAGCGGCGCAGTGTGAAATTTTGCGCCAGGTGTAGAGGTCGAGTAGCAGATCATGCCAACATCAAGAAACATCGAAAAAGGACTAGTTGCTGTCAGCTCGGCATCGGCATGAGCAGCTGCGAGTGAAGGCTTTGCCCAGGTCTCGAGACTCAAACCAATCAAGCCAATGTCTTGTCTAGCGCTTCCTGCTGCATTTGCTACAAGCACCGGTGGAAAGATAGCGCTCCCAAGACCCCCAAATTCTGGCAATGCTTGTCCCTACTTTTGACTTTGCACTGGCATCTCTAACCCTGCATGCCCAAAGCACCTCGGAGGCTGCGGAAACCATGCTCGTTGGCGGCAGCGAAACGTTTGCCCATGTTGGCTTCTTCAGGGCCCTGCGGCTCAGGTGTGATGCAGACTGGATCGACAGGTTGTTGCTCAACATTGGCATCACTTGGCCATAACACAATTACGCAACGCATGATGTGTGATCCGAGGCCTTGCCCGGGACGTGCCCAGAGTATCCAGGCACAGCATGCCCGCCACGAGCTGTCAGTGGCACCTAACAGTGCTTCATTGTACTTCCTTCATTTGACGCGACAGACTTGTGATCTTCGTGTTACGGTAGCTGTCCATGGATCTTTCAGACTGTTGGTCCCTGTAACAATCAAACCATCGACTATAGAGTGAAAACCAAGAGAAACCATCTAGAACATTGAGCTGAGCTTGGCACGTCTTCATGGTGGACGATAAAGCCAGGCCTCACATCTTGACGGCAAATCGTCTGATGTGTGTCTCAATCGCCTCAATCGCCCGGGAACCCGGCAGCAAACCTTGGCCTTGCATCTCCATGGCACTACGACAGGAGCTTGACTACTGAGACCACAAGCTTGCAAAAGATGCTTCGCGCGCTCTACAAATCACTCGAAACAGCTTTTACCCAGCCAACCGTAGAGAACGATTATGGCAGAAATAGAAATCTCTTCAACATTAAGCTCTAATCATGTGCCTCGGATTTAGCTTCGAAACAGAGCGTTATTTTAATTGAGAGAGCCACTGCAACTGCCTCCTATCGGCTTGGCCCTAGCTACACTCACTCTGCAAAAGCAAACGGCTCTGGCTTTGGCAAATTGTGAGGTTTTGGAAACATTGGGGGGGGGGGGGGGCCTGTTTGGCATGCTACTCTGATTCCTTTGCAGGTTCTCCAACAGCCCGCTGGTCGACGAAGCTGCCATAATGGCAAGTCCACAGTTGTTCTGCAGACAGTTGGAGTCTAGAATCCCAGGAAGTGTGCACGTTCGTTCATGCACTCCTCACAGGCCCTCAGGCGACAGGGTGATCTTGCACAAGTGCATTGAAGGCACATGCTGGCCTGCCATTCCCATCCTCGTGTCCCTGACTCAGCCTTTCAATTGGCAGGCGCCAGTCAGCTGCGAGGCTGCACCGAAGATGTCCAAGATTTCGGAGATGGGGTATTCCTTCAACAAGCTACAGTAGCAGGATTGTCAGCTCTTCTCTCTGGATTGGTTCGTGCGACAGTCTACGCACACCATTTGCCAGTCAGCGCTTTGATTATACCTTGACGTATTGGAACACTTGTCTAGCATGCAAGGTCCAAGCTAGTGCGAGTGGTAGCAACAGTAGAAGTAGGAGTAGTAGGAGTATGGTGGACGTAGAAGCGGTAGTAATAGTAGTAGCAATAACATCCGCAGCAGTTGCGGTACTAGTAGCCAGTGCGGTACTGGCAAGAATACGTAGTGCTCGTAGAAGGTAATACGAAACAGAAAAGATCATTGACATGGTGCTAGTTATCCGTATCAGAAATTGATAACAAGCAGCGGATAGTCGTTCATCATAGTACTTGTATTGTAGGAGTAGGAGTAGGAACAGTGTTCTTGCAAACACAAGTATACAATCACAAAATCAAGAAAAATAATGCTAGTTCAAATTGTCGCAGTCATAGCAAAAGATTAGCATTGAGCATTACTCACAATAGTAGTAAGAAATACCAGTAGCAACAGCAGTAGAAGTAGCAGCAGCAGCAACAGCAGCAGCAAGAGGCAAAACAGCTAAACATTCCAGACATGTTCGCAAAGGGCTTGTGACAGCATGTCTTGTTCGAGAAACGTGACTTTTTTGGCAGCATGTTCTATAAAGATGCAAAACGCTGTAGATAACAGTGCCTTACACATGGTTAGAAAAACATGGTCGTAACCGCACCCCTCAGCCCTTAAGCCCAACAGATCCAGTGTGTGTAAAGCAGATCAGAGAAGCGCGAAACTTGCTTCTCGAAACTTTTGTTGGTAATCAGCCAGAACTTAGGTGTTAAGAAGGTGAAGCAATGGCAAAACAGAGCGTCAGTCAGGAGACCTTAGCGGCCTTAGGCGGCCTTAGCGTCGTCGTCGTCGTCGATCGTCGTCGTCGTTGTTGCTAGCCGTACGCAGCAGGCAGCCTGCACCTGTACTATCATTACAATCACTATACTATACACTACACTGAATCCAAAGGCCTCTGGGCTCTCCCGCAAGACCCGGTGCAGGTCGGGCTCGCGGGCATTGTTCGTCTCCTCCCAGACATGCGCGAAGTCAGGCGAAGTCACTCGCATTTCATGCCCTATCCTGCCTACTACCCCGCCCCAACCCAGCAGCCATCAGGGAGATGATCAAAGCAGCTGTCGCTGTCCTTCCCAACACCAAATTCAGCAACATCTCGGTTAGACAGTGCTGGATACCAGTCCGGAGCGTACCATTGAAAGCTGGTACCAGGCCGGCAACTCTGTGCTGATGCTGTAACAGCTGATCGGCATTGAGAGTTGCTCGCAGCTTCGGTGCTGCGAAACCTGTCCGCTTCGAATGTGTTCTGGACGCTACCGCCAGTGTTGATGTCCTGCGCGCTGACGCTAAACATTTGCTTCTTCGCTTTCTGCTGGGCGGCCAAGCCCTCTCTGTTCCGATCATATTCGGATGAGCTTGTAATAGGTGGCGCCCAGTTCGGCTTTGGTGTGGCCACTGCCGCATAGTACGCGCACGGCCATGATGCATTGCATACCGGCTCTCTGCACGTGGCCAAACCAAGAGATGCCTCGCAGCTTGTGACCCGAGCACTTGCGGCAAGCGTTGGCGCAAAAGGAACTGTGGCCTCTCCTTTCTCCTTGGTAGATTGAGCACAGGCGGCATCGTACCTGACGAGACACTCCACTGCGCAGATGTGGGGGATCACAATGGATCACAGGTATCATGAAGTGAACGCCTGGGACTTCTTCCGACCCCTCCTTGACTGCAACTAAAAACAGCTAGTCAGAGCAGGATGGCTACGCTTGATGTTTCCATCGGACATCCACTTTTGTATGGCGTACTTGCAGTAATTCCTCTACGAGTATCTTGTCAAATCTGTGCCCTTGTGACTGATGGCCTCTCTCTTGCATGATGCCTCCTGATGCCTTGTCAAGTTGCACTCCAGAGGTGGTCCAGTCTGAAGCCGAAGCATCCAGCGCATTGCCTAGTGGATCTGGACGAGGTCTTCCATCGGTTGGATCCGCTCCACACGGCCGAGTGCCGGGTTTGGTGCTGGTTTCTGATACTTGCAGCGATTGCAGGTTCAAACTTGAGCCACGTGCAGGGGTACTGGGCGCATCCCCAGAGTCTTCATGGGTTGGCCAGTTGCGATCGGAAACGTCCAGGGACTGGCCCTTGGAAGACCTGAGGCTGAAGGTAAAGCGCTTACAACTTGCTGCAGCAGATGTCGTTGTCACAAACATCACAAAACAGTCACCAATCTGCAATACTGACGATACCACAATACCCACAAATCAGGACGATCTGCTGGCGCGGCATGGCTTTCGGAGCTTGCATGCTCCCGGACGTATGCTGAACCGCCTCACGACAGCTCTGAAAGCAATCATGCCTCCCTCACACAGCATCAGCCTGCACTGAAGCTCTTGTCAAATCCAAAACGTTCAGAACTGCCTCCACGATGTGTTGCAGCGTCCCTTCCAAAGTTTGCGCTGGTGCCTTCCAAAAGTTGGCTACAATCGCTTCACATTTAACTATGCTTTTCGTCTGGGCTGCACCTTCTCCACATGTGTCCCAGGCTGCGGCCAGGCAGAACTCGGATGCGTCAACTTCAAAATGATTCCGGATGACTCACAGAGTCATGGAGGCTTCATTTGTTAAATCGCACTCAAAGCACTCAACTCCAACTCTGCGTAGCGAGGCCTGCGCAGCCCTTCGGGGCACTTCGGCTGGTCCTGCGGCTTTCAGAGGTGGACATGCCTGTGGCGTGATTTGGGAGGCTTTATTCCGAACAGCCTCAGTAGCTGCGCTGTGTACTTGGCATACATTCTCAATCGAATGTCATGATCAAGGAGCAGTACAAGCAACAGGAGGCATCCTCCTTCTATCAGACACGCCAGAGACGGGCAGTTGTATTTTGGAGGTCCGACAAGGTAGGCAACGAAATCAATCCGCTGTTCTCCCTGCTTCAGACACAAGGCCTCCGTGCACCATCTCCACCATTCTCACCCCGTCGAAACGGCACAAGGCCCAAGAGCAATCACGTAAAACGACCGCACGCGTTCTCTGGGGCTGCCCGGAGAGTGTGTCACTGGCAAAAGTAACTGCCGGGAGTGACTTCGAGGAAGATCCATTTGCCTCGACACTCTATCCTGGGGAACGTAAGTAAGTTGAAGGGAACCCGTACCAGCTTGCACCGAAGGGGAAAATGCAAACTGCCTCGGATTAATACAGGGGCCCAAAAGCTGCTTTCACTTTAAAAGTTGGCAGAGCAAATGCTCCATTTTATTTATGAGATTTCATGTCCAGATGGCTTACCTCAATATCGTTCTGCATGACATCAATTCTGCAACATGCTGGTCGGCATACCTCTCCAGACAGTTGTTGTTGCATAAATAAGGGGAAAACACATCAGGATGGCCGAAGAGCAGGATGGCCGGGGAACTTCGACGAAGACACGGGATCCCAACGAGCCGAGACGAAGTTCGACGAAGGCCGGGGGGCCGGGCGAAGGTTCGACGAAGGCCGGGAGGTTCGACGAAGGGGGAGGGGGTTCGACGAAGGCCGATACAAAAGGCCAAGACAAAGCCCGAAAACAAACGCGAGGGTTAGACGAAGGCTAAATGAACGCCGGAGGTTCGACGAAGGCCACAAGGGCCGGGAGGGGGGTTCGACGAAGGCCAAGGGTTTCGACGAAGGCTAAGGGGGTTCGACGGCCTTTGCCGAAGGCTGTGTGCCATCCGCCCCCATACGCCGTCCTGATCGGTTTGCCCCTGAATAAAGATCGAAACTTACAATGTGCGTTACTGCTTTGTCGTTGCTTTTGTGACACCGCATGCATCGTTGCAGCACGTGCCGTGACGACCAGCTGATTGCATGACTGGTGCCGCCAAATGCAAGAGACATTGCCGCCTTTGCTGCGAAGCTCTGCTCTTCGTCTTCGGGCACGTACGACCTGCAGCCAGAAAAGGACATCAATTCTATCGAGTGGGGCTTTGTCGCAAGTGACAATTGTTGAAGCGGCACCGACGCACGCCAGCTGACCAGTGACTTTCGACTCGAAGCAGTAGAATTGCTCACGCTGGTAACGGCATGCAAGGCTAACTTCTTGGAGTCGTAGCCTCGCCCTCTGCAGATATCGTCAAAGACGTTCACGTGATGAAGCCAGGACTACGAGTGTCTCGAGCAGACCCCAAGCACCCACCACCCTTTCAGCACGCACGCCGCTTAACATGGTGCCAGGCTACAAGCTTTTACAGCACCGTGCGGCTCGAGAGTTACGTGCATCGCTACCTACACACACACACAGCTTTTGGAAATGATGCAAATCCTGTGTGCCAAAAATTTGAGCTGTCGGAAGTGCCCCGATCAGAAAGCAGCACTGATGATGGTGGCCTCCGCGTGCAAGGCCGGAGCTGTCGAGGGACCCTGATGGCTGCGCAAAGTTGAGGCAACTGTGCCGAATCTGAATTTTTCTGAAAGAAATTGGCGAAACAGGAAAGGCCCAAAGAGAGCACCAACACAGACAAACACAGACACGCCCACACACACCCACCCAGACATGCACACACACACACACACAAAAAAAAAAATAAAATATAGATATATATATATATATATATGTATATAAACATATGCTACCATTTATGCATACACACACTCACGCGCGCACACGCACACACGCACACACGCGCACAGGCGCACAGGCGCACAGGGCACAGTGCACAGGCGCACAGGCGCACAGGCGCACAGGCGCACAGGCGCACCCGCGCACGCGCGCGCACGCGCGCACGCGCGCACGTGCACACCCACACCCACACCCACACCCACACCCACACCCACACCCACACACACACCCACACCCACACCCACACCCACACCCACACCCACACCCACACACACACACACACACACACACACACACACACACACACACACACACACACACACACACACACACACACACACACACACACACACACCCGCGCGCGCACGCACACACGCACGCGCACGCACACGCACACGCACACACACACACACACACACACACTCACTCACTCACTCACTCACTCACTCACTCACTCTCATATGCCTTGGAAGCAGAGTCGGCCTTCTCGGGCCGCAAGGTCGTCTGTGAGGCTTCCCCACCTGGAGGCTATCAATTACAGCGGCTACAACATTAACAGAATGCAGGCACACACACCGACCCACGCGCACGCGCGCCAACACCAGCGTGCTCACGTTCATAGACGAAAAGCCATGCGAATGATCTTAGAAGCATGAGTCGAGAAAGCGGTTGCAATGCAGTTGCAATGCAATTGCAGTCGGAGCTGCTACGCACGAAATGTATCATCCCAGGCTAAAGCGACGCAAAATGCGGCAGGTACCAGGCATGAATGCAGGCGCGAGGGCAAGACAGCCTGTTGGTGATGAGTATGCCATGCATCGTGGCCTCAAAGTGAGTGAAACGGAACTTCTGGTCGTCGTGGCAGACTACGGGTACACTGAAGGGCCGTGGCGAAAACACCTGCCAAAAGCACATACGCGCTGAATCGCAAGGCCCGCGCGCTCGGAAGAGGCGCCTTGCCCTTTGTCCCGGCCTCTGAACATAACAGTGACATAACAGATCATAACAGTCACATAACAGTCACTAATAACCCACACGTCTGCAATGTCAATATGCTCGCCCCTGTCAGCAGCGGTTTCCGTTTAAGCCGACACCTGAGGTCTGAACGCTCTCTTTCCGAATGTCCCATGGCATCCAGCACTCGCTCCAGGTGGCGGTTCATTTCAAGGCTCATCCTCAGCTGCTCACGCATTGCTCATGGCATAAGGCATTTAGCACTTGCTCCTGAAATATTTCGGGAATCCGGTTCTGTTTCCCTGCTTGGAGCCCATTGTTCGGTCCAGCCTGGGCTTCAAGGTAGAACTTCGAGACTTTTCGTGCATCCATGTGCCGGAGGACATGAGATTGAAGCAACGCAATCGGTTCGGCAAACAAACTCAAGTGATTTGCCTTGAAGGATACTTCGTTCCGGGACAGAGCGAGACTCGCTATGGCAAAACAACAACTAAACCCAATGTCGCGCCGACAGCTACGGGAAGATTTCGGGGCTTTTACATGAAACTGACACGAAGACTTGCGAATGCAACATAATTGCATGTTGAAAGACCCATCGAAGCTAAGAACTGCTTGACTTTTAGGACTGTTTTTGCGCGCATTCCTTCCCCCGCCCTGCAAACCCGTGGGGACAAGACTGTGCGTCTTCCAGGGTGTTTGGCCCCGTCGACCCCAGGAAAACCAGGCCCTGCACATCCCTGCACCCTAAACCCTCTAAGCCTCTAAGCCCTTTTGCCTCCAGGCTGTTGCAGTGGCCGGGCTTCACAGCTGGCCGTTTTTTCGACCCTCCGAGCATGCAAACCCTCTAAGCCCTGAACCCGCAAGTCCTAGCGGCCCAACATCCCAATAGCACCTGAACCTAATCCAGCCTCAAATCATAAAACCAGACCTGGAGCCTCCATCCCAGAAACTGCAGCACCCCTTACGAAATATTAAAATATTCCGCAAGGTTGTTCTTGCCACCTGCCTAGCAGCCTCGAAACCACACTGCAGGGATGCGATACGTCCACAACACGAGCAAAGGGAGAAACGGAAAATATCAAATACCAGATGACAGCATGAGTCTATGTGAGGTCACTGTGCAAACAGGACGACAACGCGCTTACAAACACCATAAATTCTGTCATGAGGCGAGGTATACCATCCTGTCACGAGTACATCGCACCGGACCCTCACCAGCGATGTTGTGGAGTACTGCAAGCAGCCGAGTTTCACCAAGCTTTTCTGAGCCTACATCCAGGGGCCCCTACGTTCGCAGTATCCGCTGCAAAGGGTTTATGGTGTTTAGGGTTTCGTCTGCCTTCATAATCTGCTCTCTCCTCATGTCTGCTTTTTGCCAAGTCAGAAACCGAATGGTGCTCGCGTTGACAGAATCAAAGATACTTTCCTCTCCTCATTTCTTGCAGCCCCGGGAATTGGACAGTGTCTTGCGGCTCCCGTCTCCCTGGTTCCTTCTCCTCCTCGTATCTCCTTTCTTGGAAATTCCAATGATTCCAATCTCGACTTGTCGAGCTCGTCTCTAGGGATTTTCCGCCTGCTGGGACAGTCTCAATCTACGACCGTATGGTGCAGTATGGTCTGTTGAACAAGGCACCCCTGGTTGCTCGGCTCCTCCGGTTTCGCCCGGCAAGCTGTTCCCGAGAACCCGGTGTCATACTAAAGCCTTCAAAACTGGAAGTCGACCGTACTTTGCGCGGAGCCG